TTTCCTTTTGTTCATTACTTGCAACTATGTATACATTCTTTGAACAACTACGTAGTGGTTAATCAAGATAATATATTCGGACTGGACACGAATATAATTAATCGATCAAACGAACTTACCTTAAGTGAAGTTCGATCGTAATTATATGAAGCGTTCAGTCCGAATATATTATCTTCACACCCATCCCTTTAGTAAACCCCTCATGGTTGAGGGTAAATGGGTAATGAACAAATACTTTGGGGAATAAACAGCAGAGTACCGATATATAGTAGAACACATGATTCGAGGTGGGGAAAGGGCATTTTTGCCTTTCTTACCTACAAACTGGTGCACGGAGAGTAGCCAGGGGTGGATTACGTAGTAGTTAATCAAGATAATATATTCGGACTGGACACTCAAGAGCTCACTTAGCATGTTGTTCACAGCAACATGAATTGAATATGTATGTGAAACTTCCAAATACACTTAGTATTTAGCATGGAAAATCAAATTTTCAATGGGAATATTGGCAATGGATTCTACTGAATGAAGGTTAATCTGTCACCGGTCACATTATTTGCTATTTTCTATTTGTGTTTTAAAAGCGATTTTACTTATCCAGTCAAACCATATAGAAGAGGCATAATGAAGAGTCAATAATAAGAGATTTTTGGACTAATTGGAAAAATGAGACAGGAGATTTCTTTGTATCTTTAAATGAAACCAAAATTATTCAGACTTTCAAAAGATCTACATACAGATATGAAAACAATAATAGATTCCCAATATTTTCTTTTAGTCTTAGATATATATTTTTATTTGTATCCGTCGTACTATCATCGATCAGCACAGTAATTTTTTCAATGTAAGGAAAGAACAAGAATCAAAAATTGACAAATTATTTATCATTGTCATGACAAGAATGAGTGATCCCCACATACCCCCTTGAAAGTATTGAAATAACTTGATTATTATTGGTCAGTTTCCAATATTTTTGTTTTTAATACAAGACATACTCAATGGATTAACCAATAATTAAAATTCCCATAAGAATTACATTCCTACCCTAGTGGACAATACCGTTTTATAATACCACTGGCAGAGATAAGGGAGATAAAGATAGGAAACGCCCATAAAAAGCCAATGCTTAACAACGACCAGCTTTATCGCAGTTAACATCTGACCCACTATGTGGCGCTTTCATCGATATCAAACAACGCAGCGGGAAATTTAAAAACCTGATAATAAAGGTTGCATAAATATCGACTGCACTCTCATGTTCTTGTAAATAAACTTAAACAATGTAATTACGTTAAATTATTTATTAAAAAGAATACTACACTTACAGTATCTTATTTAAAAATGTTGAGTGCCAATTCAATAATGGGAATTCAGATATTTTTCTTCCTATATCAAATCTTTCTAACGTTTTAAAGCCAATTTCTTGTTCTAAAACAATAAATAATACATAAACACCTACTTTGTAACAAAAGTTGATTACTATTTGTGTTACTTACCTGAATAGATCTCACCTACTTTGGTTAATTAAAAAACGCCACATTGGGGTTGTTAAATTTGTTCATGTGGCATCTGTTACTAATGCAATACGTTCTCCGACTTATTGTAATATTACAAAATATAATTATTGTCCTTTCACACAAAAACAGCCACAACTATTTCGCTTAGTTTATCTAGAGGATAACACAATCATGAACTTAAAATTTAGATTCAGGATTCTTCGATATACATAAAACTGACATTTATATTTACAAACTGGCCACTGCAGGAGTGCGTTTAGAAACCCCGCACGGCGCGTCTAACCACATGCATTAAAATAGGGTCCAGACGCGTCGTGCGGGGTTCCTAAACGCACTCCTGTTCACGTCTACTGTCTGTCTCAGTGTTGCCAACCGTACGATTTCAATCGTATTTATACGATTTTTTAATTATCTGTACGATGTACGATTTCATCAGTGAGATCGTACGTAAAAATACGATCTTTACTTTTTTAGTAGGTTTATTTAAATATCTGCAACAACTTCAGAATATAAAACAATAAAAATCAAAAACTACTTGCAAAGATTCATAGGCCGTTCTTAGTTTCTGAAGGCAGTCATTTTTGTTCTGACTTATCGTGAAGTGACAGTCATTGATTACTTTAAATGTGTTGATTTTAAAGTTTCATGTATTTTCTTTAGTTTTTTTTTTCGTTGTAATCATTTTTATAAATAGATAAATAAATTATCACATCATAGCTTGTTTTTTTCATACCATTTAAATTATATTATGCTATGCATGTATCTATTGTACAATTTTTGTGTCGAAATACCATTTTTCTACTCTACTTGTACGATCTCTCAAACAAAACTATTTGGCAACACTGGTCTCTCTACAAATGACGTAGACTTGTAGTTAACATCTGAGACGCTAGATGACGCCATCGTTGCTGCGGTCGTTGCGTTTCCAATTTTTATCTCCCTTATCTCTGACCACTGGAAAATAAGCAGCGGAATTTTTACAAATGGGAAAATTTTCCCGAGAATCGAGGCCCTAAGGCATATTCAAGAAGGCATGAAAAACAACGTGGTTCGTTTTATTATGTTTTTCTACAATGTTATTATTTTTCTGACATTTAATATTGCAATTTATCTTATTGATTTCAAAAGCGCCAGAAAACCCTCTGGAAAATCCACATTTTTTTTCAGCAGTTTATTCTACTTCTCCATGAAAGCAATAAAACGGACACTTGGCGGCAGCAAGAAAAATATAAAAAGACGTGACCACGTCATCGTTTTACTCTTTTGGTCACTCGCAACCTTATGCCATTCGCTTGCTCCTAATAGTAACTATGTTAACTAACTGTAAATATATATGACAGTGATATCGTCTACAACTTAGACTAGGTAATAAAGAGAGGACTCATAACGTCTCTGAAAATCACGATACACATACTATACTCTGTTTTTAAACTAGGAGGAGTGAATTTGAACGACACATTTACACAGGGAAAAGTAAGAGTGTGTTCCGAAATATAGTAGTGTTCAAAATCTATGAATTAGTTGTCATCGTCATCGTCATCGTCATATATCTATTGTTTAAATTATTAGTTAAGAAATGTGTTTTTTTTTTAAATCATAATTGACAGTCCTCTACAAAGTGACAGCAAAAAATTTTTTTTTATTAATAATTCCATTGTTTATTAAGTTAACAATTTGTTATAAACAAATTCCCAACTTTGGTTTATTTTTTTCCTGAAAGAAATAAAAATTCCAAAAACGACTTAGTGCATTATTATTACGGAAAAATTTTATTCCATTTTTTATTAAACTTAAAAAAATATCAATTTTTATAAACAAATATAAAAAACAACAAATTGACAATAGGTACGGAATTGACAAATGACTTATCTGAGAGATAATTTCATTGCCTACAAAAATGACTTGAATGTTTATGGTCGTATCTCCAATAGTTTAAAAGTTATATCAACTTTTAAGTCAACAAATGGATCAGCTGCTGCAACTTTGATAGTACGTATATTTTCAAAGTTTATTAAAAAATGGAATAACATTAACAAGTTGGGAATTTGTTCATAACAAATTGTTAACTTAATAAACAATGGAATTATTAATAAAAAAAAATTATTTTGCTGTCACTTTGTAGCGGACTGTCAATTATGATTTAAAAAAAAAAACACATTTCTTAACTAATAATTTAAACAATAGATATATTAAAAAAACGATTATAAAAAATTAAAAGTTATTATTAAGAAAAAAATTTTTTTTTAAATCATAATTGGCAATAATTGTCTAGAAAGTTGTAAAGAAAAAATTTGAAAAAAATTGAAATACTCCATTTTTTTATAAAAAATGTATAAACAAATGGAGAAAAAAATTTTTTTTTAATTAATAAATGTCTTTTCTCGGCATTAAAATAGTAATATTAAAATAAATTGAAAAAAAAATTTTTTATAGCACCACTGTGACTTTTCTGTTTTTGTAAACTTTAAAAAATTATTATAAACAAAGTATTAATATTTTTCAAACTTTTATGAAGCTATTTTGTTTTATATGTATATAGAAAGAGCTCCACGACGCAAAAAAAATTTACGGTAATTATTTAATATTTTTATCAATTTGTAATGATGAGAGAAATTCTAAAAATTTTGTTAATTAACAATAACCTACTTTGTTGGAAAATTAATTTTTATGAGAAATTCCAACGAGAATGAATTCTTCTAAGTGTTTAGAATATACCGTAATTTTTTTAAATTTTTGAATTTATTTTATGAACTTAAAAAAATTATTTTATTGTAACGTACTCGCAGTGCGCGCAACCTTCAAATGGCGCGCGGAGGGCTACTTTGAGCGTTAAATTAAAATTATAAATAATGGAGGTACAGTTCCGGGAGTCAGAACTTATTTATAGCAAATTTCCTCCTCTTTAAGGATCTTTCATGAAAAATCCAAAAATATTTATAGTTTACAAACTATAGGCGAAAAACACCATGTTTTTGAGGTGTTTAATTGTTTATAACTTCTGCAGTTTTTTATGCACTGCAAAATTTTTCTTCACACATTGATCTAGACATTATTCCGAATCGAATGAGCTATTGAACATAATTTTCGTAATAGTATGTCCCAAAAACACGCTTTTGAACTTGTTGATTAGACTATAGAGAAGAAAATGACGAAAGAGATTCCACTTACAAGTACTCGTAGGTGTCAAGAATTCGTAAACACACTCGTACAATAACCCTGTAATTGCGATTTGCATTTCAATCAATCGATCTATGAAACCGAAAAGATGTGTCGTTATTAACAAACAAGTTAACATTTTCCTCATTATAAATGAAATAGGTAATACAATATTTCTTCTTTTAATCCTTATTTATTCAAGTTTGCTTTTTAAATGAATTCAACTCAATTTATTTTAAAGTAAACGAAGCTAATAGGGTTTTCACTAATAACCAAATAAAAAAAAGACTTTTTTAAAAAAATTTATTTTAATTTTCAAATAAATCATATCGTAAAAAGCGTATCTCCAAAGAATAAAAGACCCCGCTAATAGGTATACGTTAAAATAATTATTATAATAATTTTTACATTAGTGGATATAGTTTAGGCATTAGGCGAAACCCAGAGGAAAGTTTTTGATTGCTACAGTTTACCAACAAAAATTTTCAATGTTTTTTTTTATCAAAAAACTAATTTTTAAAAAAGTTTTAAAATGTTCATTTTAGATGGAAGTTGACCCTATATGAAATTAAAGAAGCAATAACAATTTCTATATTTTGTATATTTAAATTATTTTTTAACAAGTTTCAGCCGCAAAAACGACGCGAAAATGGGTCAAAAAACTCTCAATAACGAAAGAAATGGGTCATTTAAAGATCATATTTTTATTGTCTCATTATATACGGTAAAAGATGATATAGATAGATAGTATGGATTACCCTTCTCTAATTACTATTAGCGTTGTCTCGGTTTTGTTAATAAAGAGACACGATTTTTAATTATAAAACATTCACTATTGCGAAATAATCAGTTACTTTCACTATCGCCAGTGGAAGTAGTGTTCAATGATTCTGTCGAATATCTAAAATCGTCGTCGGTGCTTTCGTATTCGGCTCGATGCTTCAGTAAATACATGGCGAAAGCTTTTATAGCACTAGGTGGCCTTATTTTGGCAATAAAAGCAATCGCTCGCATCAAAATGGGTACCAGAACTTGGTCCAGGTATTGCCTGTAAAAAAAAACAATAAAAAAAAGCGAAGAGAGCAAATGGGGTATCTAGAATACAGTTTTGGTGGTTTTTGCTAGCATTGAAGATATATATTCTATTTTATTTGTACTTATGATACAACAACCAACAAGATAAGCTCACTTAGTAAATGCGTTTTGAACACCTTACTGAAAATACAAACCTTGTTGGCAAAACCTTTAATTCGGTGAACGATTTTTGTGGAAGTTCACTACAATTAGGCGCTGTTAAGCCTTTAACCACTTTACAAAAGATTGCGTCATCGGCTAATTCACAAACCTCGGCAGTGATTTCTCTTTTATCCGTTCTACCTATAAAATCGTCAGAAGAATGGTCTTCCAACGAAAGATTTTCTGGAATATCCGTCTTAATATTCACTTTTGTCATGTTATATTTATTTAAAATTTACGGAGATAAATGTATAATAAAAAATACGACAATAATTCCGAATTATACAGTTGCAGAGACAAAATATTCTACTTTGAGTGACAATGACAAATATTTTTTATTTTTACTAATGTCTATTCTAATTAGGCATTCCAAAAAAAGAATTACCAGTGGGCAGGTTTGATAATCTAAGGGTGGCGACATATGGTGTATTCTATCTACTTTACGTAAAATCATGAATAATGGATTACATTTAAATATTTTATGTCAAACACAATAAAAATAATATTTAAAAAACCCACCTATACATTTCTTCATAAATTGGAAGGCTTGGCGAGTACTACTTCGAATAAAAATAGCGTCCAAGTTGCAAGACTATGTCGCTACCCCCTTAAATATACAAGAATTTCCCACTGGCACCTATCGTTTGACAGGTCGTTGGAATGCCTAATTAGGCATTCCAAACTGAATGGCTACCAGTGGGTTTTGACGGGTTATGATATGGCAAAATTATGGCAACCCTGTAGGCCTGGTGATTTGACAAGGTCAATGAAATAGATAGTTACATAGATTGATCATCCATATTTTTCAAAATAAACATAAGCTTATGCCTTGAAGTAAAAATGTAAGCAATTATTTTTTTTAAATATCTAAAGGCTAAAAATTGGTTTTAAAACACATTTTTGCTAAACCGATTCAAATTAATAAATATTTGCTAGGCAATATGGCCGCTCGTAAACGACCAGCTTTGATCAATCTATATAACTATATATGTATCATTGACCTTGTTAATGACAACATGTCAACAGGGTTGTCATATCTAAACTGTCATTACCTACTGGTCAAAGTATGTGACTGGTAGCCATTTGGACAGGTCGTTGGAATGCCTAATTGAAATAAATTCCACGTATGAAGACTAGAGATAAGGAGTCGAATCGGCATACTTAAAATACGGTCCCAAAAAACGCATGCTAATTGAGCTTCTATTATTAAACGCATGGGCGCTGGTACTGCATACGTTGTTCAAAATACATGGTTTCTTATGCGAATTATACATAATTTTGTTAAAATCTCCGAGCAATTACTACTAGAGGGAGTCTTCCCCCCTTCCCCGCGCTAAATTTTGTTAGCAACATCTACTCCCCCCGAGGGGGAAAATACCTCTTCTGTAATTGGCTTATTTAATCAGCGTTGCCAAGTTTGACAGCGCCAGAAGTGTTCTGTGAGCGCCAGTTCTGACATTTTCTGACACATGTCAATTTCTTATTTGTATTTTACGGAAAATATTATTATTTATAACGTTGTAAGGGTTGTAAATGTATATTTAAGATTTATTATCTCTAATAATATGGTGAAAACATGCTTTATGTGTAAAAGGCCTGTTGAAAATGCTTCTTCAAGATAATATCATAAGTAAGTACAGACACAACCTAATTATCAGAGGCGGTGCATTAGGCCATCACCTTTAATTTGCAATTAAACTTTCTTATTTTCTTATAGAAAAATTAAAATTAAGAGCAAGTACACTCCAGCTAAGTTCGTCTTCATCCGTCTCATAATGATTATAGTAAAGGTTAATTACTTATTATTATTTTAATATCACATCTTTGTAAAGTTTATTGTTATTTTTTTAGGTTTCCTTTTCTTGATGTGAGAAAGAAATACATGGTTCCAAATATAGGAATTCAACAAGTGACCACCTGAATAACTTTTTATGCTAATGAACATTTTTATTACAGACCTCAGGGAAGGAAAATATTAAAGAAAAATGCAATTTCGACGAAAGAAGTATAATAATAAATCCTGTCACTACTTCTACACTATATTCATCTGCTACTAAAATACTAAAACAGCAAGTAAGTAGAGAAACTTAAGTTTCTTTCAAAAAGAACGTTTAAGGAAAAAGGCATAGCTATTTTTTTGTTGACACTTTTTTTTAACTAATCTAAAAGACTAATTTTGTGTATTGTTTAAATGTTCAATTTTTTGTACTTAATTTGTTTTAGGTTTAAACAAAATGAACTTCTAAGATATGCATGGAATATCCCAAAAGAGTTAAGGAAGGTTTTAAAATTCTTAAGAAAAGTATTCAGAGCCAAAAACATAAAATAGTCTTCCTGTCCAAAATATAAATAGGTATAAATATTTAGATATTATGAGTGATTTATTATTCTATAAATAGAACATAATTTGCTTCTAAATCACTACCTAATGAATTATATTCTATAGTACAAAACTAAACAAGAATATCACATTATTCATGTTTTTTTTTAATTTCCTTAAAAAACGTCCCAAAAAAATGTGAATATTTATTATTGGAGTTAACATCGTTAAGCTAAAACAATACTAGAACAACTTAAATAATGTGGATTTTGACTATTTTGAATTATGCACATCATTATGATCTAAAAAAATGTTTGTCTGGTGCTATAGTCAGGTATAAAAACATTCATTTATTTAAACACAGTTGCAATATACATTTTATTTAGTTTTTAAGTTAAAACCTATTAGGACATCCTAAAATTACTTTTTTCGTTTGATGTGAGATTAATTATTCTACATTTTTGTTGGTGAAATAGCATATATTAAGATGTCTTACTGTTTTCTCTGATTATCTAAAAGTTAGAACAATATACAAAGACTGTTATAACAAAAAAGAGATATACCTTTACTTAAACACACAATTAGTCAGTTCAATTGTATGATAATTTAAAGCAGAAATGCAGAAAACTTTAAAAATGTGTTTAAATGTGTTTTTACTATAACAAGGACATAATTATTAAAAAAACTTGGCACATTAACATTGACGATAGGTTTTTATAATATATATTATAAAAATCACAACGAACTACACAAACTGACATTATTATTAATAATAATTTAGCAATAAAAAAGTTAAGTACAATGATGACATTAAAAGTTGAGTTTCTCGAAAAAATTTTTTTCAATTGTCTCAGTAACTACCTAGTATTTTTCTAGCACAATGATATTATATGAATGTGCATTGTGTGATATCTTATATTTTAGGAATAAAATTATATATTTTTTTGCAGGTTTCTGTTAACAATGATTCCAAGAACTTTTGAAAATATTATTAAAACGGCATTTGCAAATATAATTCTCAATTAAGAGCTTTTGATCTAACAATAAATTTTTATTCTCCATAAGGTTATAGCTTCCTAAAAAAAAAATTTAACAAGACTTACCAGCCTCAAAATATCAAAATTTTATCAACCAATTGATGGTTCTACTGGTTTCCATAGGAAAATTCTCCTCGAAACTACTAAAAGAAAAGTGGCAGAGGCAACCGAAAAAGGCAAAAAAGTCTTTTTCAAAACAAAAACTAGAAATTTGTTTAAGAATCTAATTATTGTTTGAAGTTTTACTATTAATAATTTTTGATAACTATTTAAGATTATGAAGTTCTATTATGAATTTTACTCTTTGATAACCTATGTTTAAATTTTTATTAGGACCAACATAAATTATAATTTTCATTTCAACTACAAAAACCCTCATAATATTAAAAAGGGGTAAAACGTAAGATTAGTTATGTTCAGAATTAAACTCTTTAAACATTTATCTACCTAAAATGTGTTACTTTTAGAAGGTATGTTATTAACTTTCTATTTGTACTTGTATTAATTTATTTCATTTTATTATCTGTTGTATTTTCAAATTGATTTTGATATCAATCTTATCTATTTATATATTTTTTATACTCACATATGTTTTTTTTTTTCATTAAAACAAACGTTTATTAGCTTATTAAATATAATAAATTCATGTTGTTTTATCATATGCTTGTATGAATGATTACTTTTATTTCCTTTTAAAAATGAATTTCGAAGATAAAGCCGAAACGGTGAGTGAGAATAAAAATTAGACGAAAGTGACGATATTTACTGGAGCTTTTATCTACACTCTCCTTTTTCTAGCCATCTACACCTGAGCCAGCAAGATTCGTCTTCCCTCCATCCTTACTTTCCCCAGATTTACAGAGAAAACGCCGTCCTCTTTAACATATTCAGACTTTCTTTAACAGGGACTATACCACTACATTATCAGCTTTATTTGTTATCCCGAGCAATTTAAATGCATTCGTAATTGCTCATTCTCACCTCTTCTCTTGTAGATTCCTTACTCAGTTTTCTTATTTTTAGTTACGTTTGCACTGCTCTTTTATTTTCACAGCTTTAATTCTATAATGCTGTAACGCTACAATATGGATCCATTTATGTGGTTTATACTATTTAATGTTATTCGTAAATGACCAACCTATTATAATAATTAAATATTATTGTATTACAGGCCTGAAGATGTTCCTGTAAGGCCGAAACTAGTCGCTCCTGTATTTATAATACAATTGATTTTAAGGTTTTATTCTTCAATTGAAAAAATTAGACCTTTACAGTGATTTTGTTTCGTTTCCTGCATTAGACACATATAAGACGGTATTCATTTTAAAAATAGTATAATTAGCAAATTTTTTAGTTTTTTTTACAATTAAAACGTTTGGACAATGTGTGTTTTTATAGATAAATGATACGCCACTGAACAAGAAGGATGTTTACCTTCCCCCTTGTGCCCGCTTCCTCACTTCCTCTATAGATGTTGCTAACACAACAATCGCCTACAAACTCGTTTTCACGCTCCCTCTATTAGTAATTGCTCGGAGGTTAAAATAATAAAAAATAAACTTGTTTGCAGCTAAATAAAGCACAGAACATACTGTTGTATTTATTTCTAAATAAGTCTTGCATGTTTTAATTGATAAATTATTTAATTTTATCTATATAAAATACAAGTTAAGTATGTATGACCAAATTCGAAAAGGTTTCTTAATTGCTGAAATGTAATAAGTTCAATTTTGTGGCAAATTTGTTTTGAATTGAACCAATATATAGTTTTAAGAGTAAAATAAAACACAGTTAACAGATTTTTTATTGTTGTAATAGAAGTGTAAAGGGAGATTTGGGAATGTACATGGTATTACCTCATCCTTTAATTTCAGCTTTCCCCTTTTTATTTTGCTAACAGTACCATCAGTAACAATAGTCTCATAATATTTGATGATATCTTCTAAAAAGTATAGAACAGCATCATTTCTAGAAAGTGCTTTATCGG